CAACCCTGGATGACATCTTCACATCCCGCTGTCTGAGGAAGTCACACAACATCCTGAGAGACACTTCCCATCCTGCTTACAACTTTTTTGAACTGTTACCATCTGGCAGAAGATATAGAACAATTAAGACTCGGACCACACGTTTTCTGAATAGTTTTTATCCCAGAGCTATAACTGCACTTAATAATGAGCTTAAAGAACACCAGTAGTGAATAGTTGGACAGTATTACTTAGCCTGCGGTGTAGATGTTTGTATTCTTAGTGGGGGATTTTTAGTGGGTAGGGAGTGTTTGGGGATTTTTTTGTGTGTGTGCATGTAGTTCCGGTCTCTGGGTGTCTGTGTGAATTTTGTTGTATGGATATATTATGTACACATTTACAATGACAAGGAATTTGTTTGATTTGATTTTAAACTCTAAGAAAAGCCTTTCCACTGGATCTTGAACAGAAGGAGGGCCTTTGTTTGTAAATCTATAGACACTTTTCTTGCCTGCATTGGCTTTTGCTTATCCTTTTCTTTCTGATTCTTAACTTTTCCAAACTAATTTTTGATATGTTTTCAGTACTTAATGTTTCCTTTACTACTTTCTACCCTTTAAAACATTTCCTGTCTCCAATCTTTTAACTTCCCTTATCTACTTAATATTCATTTTGAAACACAAAGTTAAATATCAATTCAAATACCTCCAAAGCAAGTATCTCAATAAGTTGTAAACCAACAGTCATAGCAAATAACATATATTTCTAAGTACAGTATCTAAACCTCTTCAGTCTTTGTTAATTCCAGCCCTTTCCCCCAGCTGCTAATTCTAATCACTTTTTCACAGCTGGTATATTGGCCAAGGTTAGTTTAAACAGATCTTTACAGTTCTTCCTTTTAGTTTCTATTGTAATCCACCAAAACTTTTTGAATGTTCCTAGAGACTTCAATGATAGTCCTTCGAAACCTCAAACTCTTATTATTCATAAACCAATATTATATCTTGATCTTCAAACCATTGATTATTCCAGTGTATCCTCAGTTTCTTCAGTTCCACCCCCAGGTTGTTTTTCCTTGCATTCCAGCCAGTCTTACTCAGTCCTCCTTATGGTCTTTTATTTTTTTTCTTTTCTTTTCCTATTCTTTTCTTGCTCTTAATTTGGTCTTTTCAATCACAAACTCCCATTATGTTATCCTAAGGTCTTTTGTTATTTTCTATTTTAAAGGACTCACTCTGCTCTGAAGAATCCTCACTTTGCTTCTCACCTTGCTCTGTTCTTTGCAATCTTCCAAACCCCCTCCAGATCTCTTAATTATTAGTTAATAGTCCATCGAAAAGGTCTTTACTCACAGTATGTTTCGCATTCACACACCCATGTCCTCTTTTAAAAATAAAGTGGATGGCTTGGCTTGGTTTCCATAGAAAACCGCTGGTTCAGCATTGTGGCTGCCTTGCATATCCTCCTTTGAGACCTGGCAAGTGTGTTTTTCAACTCCCTTTCTTCTATTCACAGATGTATTTATTTTTCCCCAAGGTCTCTCTGGAGTCAGCGTTTGGCTCCCCTCCGAGTTCCTCCTCTCCTAGAGGTAACTTTGAGACAGCCGAAAAATCTCTTAGCTGACTTAATCTGAAACCGCTGCAGCTTCAATCCTTGCAATCATAATCTTGCTGCTTTCACCGGCCACACCCACCGGAAGTCCTCCTTGTTAGCCATGATTTCTAAGGCCCACTTGACTTCACTCTCCAGGATGTGTGGCCCAGGGTCAGCAACCACACTATCTAAGTTATCCGGGACATCCAGATATTTCTGGTATAATCCCTCTGTGTATTTTGTTGCCATCTCTTCTTGATGTCTTCTGCTTCTGTTAGGTCCATACCATTTTTGTCCTTTCTCATGTCCATCTTTGCACAAAATGTCTCCAATTTTCTTGAACAGATCTCTGGCTTTTCCCTTTCTATTATTTTCCTCCATTTGTTCCACTGTTCATTTAAAAAGGCCCTCTTGCCTCTCCTTGCTATATTTTGGAAGTCTGCATTCGGTTTTCTGTAACTTTCCCTGTTTCCCTTGCATTTTGTTTCCCTTCTCTTCTCTGCTATTTGCAAGGCCTTGTTAGACAGCCACTTTTTTTCCTTGCATTTCTTTTTCTTTGGGATGGTTTTTGTTGCTGCCTCCCTATTTTAGCATTCCAATCCCCTAAAAAGAGAAGAACATCTTTCTTTGGTGACAGGTGTTGTAAGTCTTCATAAAACTAGTCAGCTTCAGCCTCTTCCGCATTGGTGATTGATGCATAAACTTGGATGACTGTGATGTTGAAAGGTCTCCTTGGATTTGTATTGAAATCATTCTATCATTTTTAGATTGCATCCCAGTTCAGCTTCTCCCACTCTTTTGTTGACTATGAGGGCTACTCCATTCCTTCTACAGGATTCTTGCCCACAATAGTAGATATGATAATCATCTGAACTGAATTCGCCCATTCCTGTCCATTTTAGTTCACTGACGCCTAGGATGTCAGTGTTTATTCTTGCCATCTCCTGTTTCACCACATCCAGCTTACCAAAGTTCATAGATCTTACATTCCAGGTTCCTATGCAGTATTTTTCTTTGCAGCACTGGACTTTCCTTTCACTTCCAGGCACGTCCACACTTTGGCCCAACCACTTCATTAGTTCTGGAGCTACTTGTACTTGTCCTCCACTCTTCCTCAGCAGCATGTCAGACACCTTCCGACCAGCGTCATATCTTTTAGCCTGGAGTGGCATTGCCAGTTCCTGCTCCAGGTGGATAACGTTTAGTCAGAACTCTCCACTATGACCTGTCCATCTTGAGTGTCCCTGCATGGCATAGCCCATAGCTTCTCTGAGTTACTCAAGCCCCTTCGCCACGACAAGGCAGCAATCC